CCACATCCCTCCCAACAGAAGCACACACACAGAGTGTTAATACAGAGCTGTTTGGAGTGTAATGAGGTGAATCTGGCTTAGGCTGTCTCATAACTACCCACAGAGAGATGAGACAATTTTGGTTTTAATCAAATACCACAGTATAAAACCTGAGGACAGTCATACCATTTCTGTGTATGATTAGTGCTACAGCAGATCACATGCCAGGACAGTACACTTTACACTGTTACAGTCTGAGCATCAGTAGTATTGCAGTATTGGTGATAATTATTGGTATAATATGATATTACTGGTATTTGGTATGTAAAGAAATAAGAGAGGTTCAGTTAAAAGTCTTTCAGTATAAGTTAATCATACCACAATAATACCCAACGCTGTGATAGATTTTGGTCAGCAATATCATTACTGAATCTGAAATGACTGTACTGCCCCTGCGTTTGAAGCAGATGTTAATGACACATGTTCTCTACATCATGACATACTGGTCTCACTTCAGAGAGAGAGATAGAAAGACGAGATAGGGAAGAGAAAGAGACAGAAAGGAGGGATGAGAGAGGGAAGAGAAAGAGACAGAAAGGAGGGAGCAGAGGGATGAAAGAGGGAAGACAGAAATAGAAAGAAGAGAAGGAAGAGAGGGAGAGAAAAGAGGGAAGAGAGACACAGGAAGGAGAGGGAGGGGAAGAGAGAGAATGAAGCGGGGAGAGAAAGATAGAACGGTGGGATGAAAGAGGGAGGAGAGATAGAAAGGAGGGAGGGGAGGAGAGAATGAAAGGGGGAAGAGAAAGATAGAATGAGAAAGAGAGATACAAAGCAGAGAGGAGAAGATAGATAGAAAGGAGGGACGAGAGAGGTAGAAAGTAGAGGAGGGGGGGGAAGAGAGTGATACAAAGGAGGGAGGAGAGGAGGGGAAGAGAGTGATACAAAGGAGGGATGAAAGAGGGAAGACAGAAAGGAGGGAGGAGAGAAGGGGAAGAGAAAATGAAAGGGGAAGAGAAAGATAGAAAGGAGGGAGGGGAGGAGAGAGACGAGAGAGAGACATTAGGGGGAAGAGAGGTAGTAAGGAGAGAGGGAGGAGAGAGAGGTAGAAAGGAAGGAGAGAGAGGGAGTAGAGAGGAGTAGAAAAGAGATATAGGGGAGTGAGGAATAGAGAAGAGAGACAAAAAGGAGAGAAGAGAGACAGAAAGGAGGGAGGGGAGAGAGGAGAAAGGAGCAGTTGTAATGGTATCTGTGCTGAAAGTGTTTAGAGTGCAGAATCATTAATCCATTTGGTCTGAGCTGTGGAGAGACTCTGTAGCAGCACTGTGAACGCACACACACACACACACACACACCTCGACATATGCACATTCACCCACATGCTCACAGAGCCAGTACACACCTGTGAACAGAGAGAGAGAGAGAGAGAGAGAGAGAGAGAGGGAGAGAGAGAGAGACGCAATCTCCAGGCTTATCATGTGGATCTAATCTTCTAATTACAGCTCCTCCGAGAAACTCAAGTCATGGGTTCATACACGTATGTGTGTGTGTGGACATGTGTGTGTTTCTGTGAGGTGACGATAAGAGAGCGGAAGTTACAGGAAGGAAAAGCGGGCTGTATTGCATGTGCATACTGATGAGTTGTCATCCTCTCTTTCTCTCATTGATTAATTCCAGCTGATTCGATCCACACACACACGCACACACAAACGCACACAAACATGCACTCACTCCCATCTGAGTTCACACACACATCCTTGAGAACACACACACCTCATAGTGAGAGGCATTGATCTCATTTCAGCTTCTCATCCCTCTGCTGCTCTCAAATGATCAGTCAGAGAGCATGACATGCTCTGTCCTCCCTCTAGTGGACAGGGGTTTAAGGGGTAGGGGGGGGGCAGTATGTATTACAGATCAATACAGAAAGTCAGGACTAAATCAGGCTTAGTGTACAACATCTCCACTCTGGGCAAAGCTCTTTTGGAGCTATTATGGTGCGGCAGGATAAGGTTTATGGAATGCTGACAAAAATCCCATTGAACCTAATGAGTTTCTATAAAAAATACCTAAATTACTCACATGGGAGACACTACATACTTGAGTTTCCAGTTTAAAAGTCCTACTCAAACGAGCTGCACCATGTTGTTGTAGCTAACTAAATTACAGCGCGAAACAGCATATGCCATTATGTAAATGTTAGCCTGACTTACAAAGAATAAATGCATAAATACAAATAAGACAATATGCCCAATCTATTCTAACATTGTGACCTTGCAAAATATATAGAATTTGAAATTAATGACACTCTACATTTACATATTTTGACAAAAAAACAGTAGCTACAATTTCTCATTAGGATGAATGTTCTGTAAAGCTTGTCCAATCTTATAACTACGACAGAACACATTTTTTGGCGAAGTAGAGATAGGTCAGTTGGTACAGCCTTTGTTTCAGATATTGTATTTTTATTGTTCTCAATGATGTATTGAATTGAAAATGGAAACATTAACATAGACAACACAACGTGTGTGTAAGGCACATTTTCAGCAACTCTTTATTTTTGCTATATTGAAAAACACCCTGCTGTATTGTATTGAATCAAATTTCATTTTTTTGCTGCTTGATAAGGTGGAACAGACACAATACTCCAGCAAAACCTGTGCCAAGATTAAAAATGCTAAAATGCTATAAAAGTCATGTATACGGACATTTTGCTGTGTATCACTACATCCAGTTAAACTGGACCAGTTATCCTCATACTCTCCCAGCAGCAGGACAAACCCTTAGACATCTACATCACTTGTGAGCTCCTGTTAAATCTTGTTTTTTTTTTTTGTTTTTTTTTTAGTGAAACAGGCAGCTGTGTTCAGTGATCCTTAAAGACAACCTGAAATCAAATCTGACGTTTTACTTTGTTAGTTCAGGTATGGAAATATAAAATTAACCAATAATATCATAATATTACCAATAATGTCATAATAATACCTTCCACTCCCGCTACCCCCAACTATAATTGAGCAAAACTCCCTCCCTAATACTGCACTTCTCTCAGAAATACGTCAAAGTACGGATGAAAGTGCATTATGAGCTCACGTTGACAGTTCTTACAATATGCTTAGAAAAGCTTAACATGATGTAATTTATCATGATAACATAATCATATCACCTACCCCTAAGTGGA